AACCTACATAAACCTATCTGAACCAACAAAACATGAAGCTTTACTGGGGTGAAGCAATGGCAATGCTTACTTTGGGAAAAGTAGCCATGACATATTACATACAGATGAGTCAACATCTTGATATTTTTAGCTTCAATAATCAAAACAACAAATGATTTGATAAAATGTAAACGTAATGCTGTGAAACTGCATGATGTAAGTTACTTTAAAGTGAATTTCAAGGAACTTTTCCAGCATGGGAAGTTTACAATCTATGGCTTGTGGTAGACCCGTGTCTTATAGCAGGAGACTTGTACCCCTACATATTGTAACTGTAGATGAACTTATACTTGCATCTTTTTTTACTAAGAAAAGTTTTTCTGAACTCTTTCTTAGCCTACAATAATGTTTGACAGAAAGTTATGCACTACATGAAGCTTATTAGCTATCCTTTTACAATTTTCTTTCAACTTACTGCCCTACTCCTGTAAAATGAGATGAACTGAAGCACTTGCCATAATCTTTATTGTGTCTCTATTTCGTCATTTTCTTCTTTTAACATTATCCTTTCTTCCTAACGAATTCTCTGAAGGATTCAAAATATTCTGTTACCACCATTCTCCAAGTTAATACCAATGTAACTGCTTATAAACTATTTCAGATCAATCTTGCCGTTACTCATGTGTCTGGAGATCACTTCCATTGTGATGTCTATTTTATTCCAAGTGTTAAATTAGTACTGACTACAGAAGGCAATTCAAAGAAATCTTAACTGCTGTTTTGGACAAATACAAGGTCTGCCAACTTACTACTTGCATCTTCCCTTTTCCTTCCTAAAAGGTAATTAAAACAAGATTCCTAGAAAAAATAGAATGGCATCAGTCTTAACATTTGCCATTTTAATAACTATTTACCCTTGCTTGCTTTCTTCTATAGCCTTTGACATCATGAAGTCGTTTGATAACAAGCTCTATCTCTTTGATTCCAAAACTCTTTTACTGAAGTGCTGCTGAGAAAGAAAACTAGCAGTTTTCCTGAAGATTAGTTAGATTTGTAACTGAAAAACAATTCAGATGCTTTTGAACTTTAAAACCTCTCCTTTTATGAATAACAAATGAATGTTTAAAAGACTTACATCACCTGTTCAAGAAGAGTATCACTACTGAAAAGCTTACAGAAGCTTCCACTATTTACCATGTTGCTTAAAAAAATTGCCCTAATGGTCATCTTTAAAAATACTTACCACTCCGTCCAAGCCACCCACAGTGCTTAACTTGCAAGTCAAACAATAGATTTTACAACAAAAATCAGACATAGTAACTTCACTAGTTCGAAAGATGCACTGGCAGAAGCACAGCCATTCTTACAAAGCTACGCAATCAGGCAATCATATCAATTAAGTGAATAGTAACTCTAAAATCAGAAGGCATCCCAATCTAGATATTGACCTCTCATTTGTATGATTAATTCAAAAACTCAGTCTTTAGTTTCACAGTAACTTAAAAGACTACCTTTGAAAATTCATGGAATTTGGCCACAACCCATAAAGCACCTCTCCACTCCTGCCACCCTTAGCTCCATGCTGCAGATTTCACCCAGCACATACCTATTAACCACCTGCTACATTGGTACAGGGCACTAATGCAGTAATAGAGGGTAAAATAAATGGCGTGTGTATATATATAATTTACTCACAAGCCCAGTTTTGTGAAGCCTAATGATTAATCACCCACGTGATTCAAGCACAACCAACATTAAAGGAAGCCACAATGCAAAAAAAAAAACCCCAAAATGTATTACTCTGCTTCCATTACAGAGTACTATGTTGATTTTCACCTCTTTATTTCAATCAGGACAAGATTCAGGCTTACCATTTATATTCACAGTATAAATAGTTACAGTATAAGAAACTATATTTTGATTAACAATCTGAATCATTTATAGCTCTAATTACTGTAATGAACTCCTACTCCCTCCCTTGTAAACACTGACTGATGTGTGTCTTGACTTCCCTGCGTTGTCAGGTTCTCCATACTTAAATGCTGGCCGTAAGAAAATATCATGGCCATACTGAGCATGGAGCAGCAGTTAGTTTGTTAGGAAGAGGAGCACAGTCACCACTGTGGAACCGTGTAGTACATACGATGAATATGAAGGACAAAAGTTTTGCCTTTATCCCTTCTACCTCTTGTGGAAAGACGGACGCACAAAAGAAACTACATCACCCACTCCAAAATTTCAAGAAGGATCAAGAAAAACCTCTTCAAGCTATATGCATGAATGATCTGCTTGCTTTCTTCCTGGTAAGCAGAAGTAGAAAAGCCCAGCAGAATAAAGTCCAGGGAACAGTACAGCAGAAGATACAATACCACATGTTTGAAGGGTCCTAGCAAAAACTGACCTCTACTTGCAAGTGCAGAGTACTAAAAGGCAGCATAATTACAGAGAAAAGAATCTCGTATCCTTGTGAATGGTTTTCTAGAATGTAATTAAAACAGAAAGTGTTGAATAAGCAAAGATTATCAAGTCGAAATGGAGCTACAATACCACCAATATATCTTAGACTGATTTTCTGCATATCTCTATGGATACTAACAGACTATGCTGGTGCCAAGAGGATTCAGTGGTTTTACTTAAAATACAAGCAACAGCCCTTCTTTTTTCATACTAACAAATCAACAGGATAATTCTGGAATTCATTAGTGAAGAACACTAACCAATCCAACATAATAGCTTTACTTCCTCTGCAAAACACTTCAAAAAATATCTAAATGAATATGGAAATGCATCTTTCTGTGGCAAATTGTTCATTATTGAATCATTATCAACTCTTGTTAGACAAAATTTCTCTCTTTTGCAATGTACAAGATCATTAAAATGTTTGAGAGCTCCATCATGAAAGACAGCGGCACTTTATAATCCGCTATCTCTTCAGGCAAATATGCTTACGGCTGAACATAATACACAAAATAACAACATCCCCTTGACACACAATTCTTTCTTTTAATGGTGCTCTTAAGTGTTGACAGCAATGGTGAAATATGTTGTTGCTCTTTCTTTTTTTTTTTTTTTTAATAGTTTTTAACTATTTCAGAGATGTATTTCAGTTATGATAAAATGTCAAGGAAGGATGTGTTTCTTTCATCTTCAGCATGGAACCCCAGACGCTTCATCACTACTATTAGTCTAGTGAGATATTTCCTGTAAGCTCTTCAGTTCTAAGCCTCCATCTCCTTCTAACCTCTGAAGATCACAGAATAATCAATCAATGCATTAAATATCATCTACAGTAACTAATAAAATGGATATTTTCATTCTGTTTATGGGATCATGTCCACAATTTTATATTAATAAATTGTGTAACATTTTCTTGTCGGAAAAAAAATGTAAGAAGAAAGTAAATTTTTCTTTTCAATAATAGACAAAACCCCCATAAACACAGATAGTGGTATTACACAGAATACTACTTAATGTTCTTATGTAGCTTCTGTCTTGCCTCTTTCCAAACTTTCAGCATCAACCCAAGGTATGATGCAAGAATTCACAATGTGAAAGTATAACAGATAAAGCTGCATCCTATACTGTAACATCCTTGAAGTAAAACGAATATAATTTTTTGTTATGACAAGTCAAAAACCACAGGTGGAATACTTTTAAAATCACAGTTTTAGAGTTCTGAGGTGTGCATTTCTTAAGAGATATATACTGAAAGCTTTCTATAATTCTTTACTGCATATAGGAAATGAAATTTTACTCCAACAAAATAAAACCCGTAAGAACTGTTAGCCATAAAGCATTATTTCAGTTCACAGCTGCTTTCGGTGACTGACATATACACATCTTGCAATTCATTCTCTCTACAAAACAATCTCAATGGAGGTATCTTCTCAAATCTGTATTAATGATGTAATTCTATTATGTCTAATGGAATCACCTAGCCATCTCTTCAATAAAACTGAAAAACTAAGAAGATATAGTTGCACCAACTATTTTCTTCATCTATTTAAAGGAATATATTGTTTAGAAATTGCATGGCTCAAAATAGAAGTATAAGCAAGTAGTTGGCCCTTGGTAATACAAATTTCAAGAAATAATCAAACTTTGCCATATATTTTTATAAAATAAAATCATTATCAGCTACAAAGCCTAGAGCCACTCCACACATGCTACTAATCCAAATACTGGAAAACCAATTGAAGTAACTTGTCTTTTTAGTCTCCTTTAAAAAAAAGACAATGTATTTCAAACAGTACCAAGGGGAAGCTCTACTCTGCTTTACCGAAACAACTAAGGGAAACTACACTGTAGCATTACTGTCTTCAGATATAAGTATCATTGACCAATTGACCACGTAACTCTCTCTAAACAAAGACTAGAGAGATGGTCATTTTAAAATTACCTATTTTCAGGTTCTTATATGAAGGTTTAAATGAAATTCTGGTTTCAGCAGTAGCTGTGCTTTGTCTACCTCTATTTCAGAGAAAATTAAAGTAGTAAACAAAGACTGAGCAAAGTAGAAAGATTTCCAAAAGAAATAGCAGACCACCGGGATTTGGATTTAGGTAATCCACTTAGATTACCATGGCTATGTCTTAAAAGGACAATACTGAAATCAAAAAATAGGTCACGTCTACAAGACAATATATAAGTGAAACAATGTCAAATGTACAAATTTAGAACAATCAGAGTCATACCTAAGTTTAAGATAGAAGAAAAAAAATTGTCACAAAACCACGTATTGTCAAACAACAAATATTTTGAAATCAATGTTTTCATGCTCCAAACTGGAATAGAGGAAGAAGAGTTTCAAACAATGCCATCGATACACTAACATGTTTCAGGTAACACAGAAGCACAGGCAATGAAGAAAAAGCTTGCAATACCTAAGCCCACCATATAATACATGTTTTGCTTGCTTGTTTTTCCAGTTTCAAAAGCAGGAAGTGTTGGACACCCACAGGCCTGGAAGTAGTAACAACATTAGCCTAGCAAAATAAGAGTTTGCATCTTTTTCCTGGAAGTTACAATGTTTCTAATATAACAAATATAAAACAAATTAGAAAATTAAAAATAGGAGGAAAGCCCTCCAATTATTAACTGAAGAAAAGCCTAAAGTAAATTAGTAGGTAGTTCAGGAATTGATAGTGTTAGAAAAATGTGGGTTTTTTAAATGCACAAATTAAAAATTGCTATAGATGTCTTCTCAGCAAAAGTTAGGGAAAATTCAGCTTTAAAATAATTTGGAATTTACAAGACAAATGTAAAAAGCAAATTAAAATACATCCACTTTCTAGATCAACTTGAGAAAATCTAGGTGGCTTCTTCTAAAAAGTCCTGGACAATGGCCTTTATGAGGAATTTGCCCAACATGAAGAGATTTCAATAGGAAAGTCAGTGTTGCTATGAGAAACAGAGCAACTTCCAGATGCTTGACATGTCAGGCCTAGACAAGGGAATGAAAAATGTCTCTTTCTGACCAAAGAGGCTTTGAGGGGATACTCGTAAAGAATTACCTACTTACCCATCAGATTTGAGTTCATGAAAGGTGTCGGGGACAATCCTTCATGGGGCCCTAATCGACTGTCATTCAAGTGATCACTGTAATGAGGACTGTCTGCAAAACCCTAGAGAAAAAAAGACCAGAGTATTAAACAGATTATTTGGCAGCCCTGCTAATTGAGTGTAATGACACTTTCCTAATTAAATGTGCAGAGTCACAATTGGTCATTAATCACAAAGTTGGCTTTCGGGCCTATCTCACAGAAATTACTCCCTGCCCATATTTTACTTTCTCTCCTTTTCTTCTCCCTCATCAAAAAGAAACCACATAATTTCTTAATAAACGGTGTCCTCACAGACAGTATTTTTAAAAATTGAATAATACTGAGATATTTTGATATTTGAATCCTCGTAGGCTTAAGTCGCTAACCACTGAGAGAGTAAAATCAGTCTGAAGAAGTCGCAACCGATTTGGGTTTTTTTTGCCCTAAGGTTTCTGTTTGCATTAATAAAGCAACACAGTAAAAAGGTCAGGAAGAGTCACTGACATTAGGAAAAAATGTTAGTGCAAATGCAAAGAAGAAATTCCATTTCCCCTTGCAGCCTGCTATTAATGTTATAGACTAATAGGTATTTTGACACTGTGACATTACTAAACACAAAAGATTTACCTCCAAATAGTGATTAAACAAACAACTTTGACACTCAGTTTGCTGACAAGCACTCAAAACTGAAATATTGTTTTGCTCTTTTCTAGCATTAGTATAGCCAACTTAGCAGGCTTGGAGTGACCCTTATGCACTTGGGAAACACTGGCTCCTTGAACGCTTGTGCCAAAGGTATAGAGGCAGAAAACAGAGAAGTTCTAGAATGCACGCATTATTTAATTAACCCAATTACTTTGAATTCTCTTTTGTACCTTTCGAAATGCTTTTAGCTTTTCCATATAAAGATATGAATATGGTATCTGCCAATCAGACTGATCAGATGTGCACTGAACCACTTGTTCTGTACCAACACACGACAGATGTGGCACTCAAAATCGCACCTCCTTTGTAGCCAAAGTTCTGAAAAAAACATTCTGTAAACCTTATCTTACAATTCCCACTTACTCTAAGTCTGGTAGAGAGAAACCTAAAGCTCAGCCCTAATTAAGGGAGGGGGGGGAAATTGTTCACAGCTACCAGAAACCATCCCAAGTGCCCTGGGACTATAAAATCATCAATCACTGAACATTTATCATTTTTTCAGACTGCAGGCTCACATTCAAGACAACATTAATGGGGCTGAAACAGGCCTCACTATCTTTGCAGGCGTGCTGTCAGTTCTACCAAAGGGCTGGTAACTGAGGGCTAAATAACTGTCAAATCACTGCTGCTGCTTATGGATGCATGTCACAGCTCTTGCTGCTACTCGGCTTTAAAAGTAATCTTATGAGAATCCCAAGTCCCAAATGAATCTTTGGCTGACTTTATCTACTTCAGAATCGGCGATACACATGTGATAGGCATTCAGAAGCCATCTCAGTGACATTTACAACTTGGTTATGACCACGAGGATGTCCTCTGGTAACCATGACCTAGCCCCGTCTGTCAGACAAGCAGCATGTAGCAGCAGCTGCTGAGGAAATGGAGTGGCTCCTAGCTAAGGTCACCACATGTGGTTTATTTTTATGCTGAAATGAAACAAAAGAGAAATGAAATCTGCTGAATAAAGAAATAAAAATTTGCAAATAGAGGACCAAAAAAATATAGCTCCTAAGTAGGTGCCTTCCTATTTGGCTCTCTGCTTGTACTCGTTACTGTGGGTTTTTAAAAAACTTTCCACCTAAGACAATATTTCAACTGTATTTTATTTTTAAAAGAAACAAACTAGGAAGGACACTACTAGTGATAAAAGAGAATCTCAGACATTCAGAAAGTAGTGCCTAAATGAGCCCCAGAAACTGAGATCTTCAAGAGATCTTTACTTACAAAGCAAATAATTACTGAAAATGTAACAGGAGTAAGACTCATTTTATACACAGTTACACACCATGCAACACCAGCTACCTAATGCACAGGATTAATAAATAATACTCCTCCCCAAGTTAATATTGCATATTCCCCTCTAAAAGAGAGGAATTGGAGAACTGGGCGGGTAGTTTACACAGAAGGGAATGTTCTCCCTTCTGCCATCAGAATTTCTTCAAATAACCCTTTACATCATGTTCTTTTCATATATCCTCTCAGTTTCCCAGAATGTACTTGTACTGAATTACCACAGCATCAAAATTACATTTCTACACCACTAAACAAATCAACTAGTTTATCTACCTGAAAAATCCTCCAAGAAGTCCTTCACAACGCTAAAGCCATAGAAAACAGCACATTTACTATATAGGGGTAAAATGTACTAAGGCATATGCAAGCACTTTAAATAGAGTTGTGTTTTCTGTACTTGAATTCAATTCCTAACTGAAATTAATTGTCAGGCATGTCATTCTTCGTCATGCGCTACAGAATTTACACTTGTGCACAGTGTAACCTCTCTCAGCCTTCATCTGCAGAGGACCCACGTAAAGAGGTCTTAACTTGGCCACCATCCTTGACACCAGTTATTCAGTCTTAGTAATGAGGTATGGATTATCAGCTCAAGCAGTAGAGTTTTGTTTGGGATTAGAAACCCTGGGCTGATTCCCACATATAACTCACCCACACTAAATGAATACAAAATAACCACAAACACATGCAGTTTTGATTTAACAAACTTCTTTTGCGCTTCACAAAAGCAAATTAAGCAAAATCAGAAGAGCTCTAAGGACAATGATTTAAATTACACAGAGTTATTTCAGAGCATTCTTCACATTGAAGCTGTACTTCAAAATAAATTGCATTCCTAATACCATTTCTTGCTTTTACATCTGTATTGTTAACTTACATAATAAACAGCATAAAGTTCTACTGGGAAGAGTTGTAATCAATCATAGGCAAAAACTTCAGAAGCTTCCACTTGCTTCTGAAAAGCTACTGGAAGCTTGTAGTCATACAATCAAAGCTTAAAAAAAATGTATTTAACAAATATGATAGTACAAATTGACAACATATGTTTACTACTTCAAGAAAAATACTACTGAGCCTTAAAAATTCTGTCTGCAACACCAATAAAGGATAGTGGTTTATTAAAAGGTACATCTCACTTGTGTGACTGAGTAACAAAGAGAAAATACCATCAGCTGGCATCTGAACTCATCCCTCACGGCAAAAGCAACAGAGGTGGTGGTGGATATATACATAAATTTCTACCAGAACCCCTTTTCAAACCTTCGTTTTCAAGAAGACTCAACTGTTTATACTGCCAGATTTCATTCACCCTTTCTGAGAAAGGAAGGAAATTTCAGTTCACAGCAATTTTGAAGACTGCTTTCTTAAAGGGGATTCATTTGATCATAGCTAGATTGATGCTGGCTCCAAGCAGAAACAGGAGCTAATTAGTTATGCCAAAAGCTATTCTCTCTCTTGGGAAAAACTATTCCATGATACATACTCTGATCTGGCTCTACTGGATCAGGACAGCGATATCATTCCTTGGACCACAGGTGGGCTTCCAAAGCCCTTCGGAGGATTGCTACCTCCTGTTACCTGTGAGGCGAGTTTGACAGAAAGACGTGAAGGAGACATTCCATGCTGAGTATACATCCCCAATTTCTGCCACCTTTGTGTCCCAGCAAACATACCGATGGATTAGCACACTTTAAAGTGCATGGTTTGAGTATTCTGCAAATAACTGGCAAAAAGTCTCCAAAATAGGAGTTAATGGACAAATCTATTTTGTCTTCTGAGCATCCTTTTCTGAAGGGACTGCAGATAGCTCAGGGCATCTTTCTGTTTACAGAAAGAAAACTGGTTTTGAATATGACTAGATGCCATCGCTGTAAACTCAAAACCATCTTTTTTGTTCCAACCTCTTACATAGCTACTGCAAAACCAAGCTTTAACCTTCCCAAAGGAAGACAAAACTTTTCTTTCTGTACTGTTATAGCCTCAATAAAGTCTAATGGGGGCCAACTGTTGTTCCCTTACAGCATTTTATAACGTTGTCACTGTTCATTTTGCAAAGGGCCTCTCCCATGATTTCAGTCTCACTGCATGTTTGTGATGAGAAGGACAAAGTCAGATACGCCTACAAATAAAAGCTACAAGTATTGTCTACTAATAATACCTGTCATGAAATACAGCTGAAAGGTTACTACTAATTAGCACTCCAATTTAACTGAGTAGCAAAGGCACACTCAACATTGAATGTTTTAACATTTTATTAATTTTTCAGGTATTTCATTGGATTAAAGTGATGTTCTCTAATCATTCCAATAAATTAAGTCCATTGATTAAAAAAAAAATAAAAAAAATCAGCAGTTGCAACAGTTTTCATTCCCACCTCTTCTGAGTAAAACACCTCAAGTGTTCAAGTGATTTAGGCTTTATCTGTACCAGGAGGATTTTCCATGCACAAGTACGCTAACACAACCGAACCAATAAGAAAGATCTGAGACTATTTACAAAATCATGAATAGTTGTATACAGGACACCTGAAAATTATCTTATGGAATTTATTATTCTATAAGACTCAGAAGCAGAAATGGAAAAAAAAACAGAAAACACACTCCTTACTAGGCATGTTTATCCTATCAAACCATAAGGGAAGGCCTGACACAAAGGGTCTATGCCCCATTTTACAAAATAAAACGGTAATTAATGTCCTAAAACTCAAAGCCTTTCAATGACCATTAAAGTTCTGACATTCTGGCTTAAGTTAATCACGGAACCCCCTAAGCACAAGCCAAAAAGTCTCCTCGGCTTGCTGTTCCTACCCCTTCTCACTGCACTGGTTCCAGGGCTTCTGCAGGATTCACCCTCTCCCTTTTGCTTCCACTTGAGAAACATAAAACTACTGTCCCTTGGTAATTGTTTTCTGAAGTTCCACCAAGATTTGTTCATGCATAAGCAAAACTGCACTCCTGACCCTAACTCAAGTTGTAGGTTTTTTGATTTTGTTTTCAAATAAGCACAACATTCTATTTCCACTTCAGGGTAAAACGTGAAAAACAAAGGAGACACTGTAACCACACGGCACATGATTTTCCCAT